AACAGCCGTCATTCCTCAGTGGATTCACATTTCATTTATTTGTAGAAAGAACATTATCAGCCTCCATTAGAGTTTGTTACTCCTGATGTCTGTCTGTATTTGTTTTCTCCTCATAACTGGAGCTGGATGGAGACAGAAGGTGAACTACTGGGTTGGTTTGTGTGAAATCAGACAAAGTTCAGGAAAATACCAAAACTCTCAGGTCTCAAAACAAGATGATATAAAAATCCAAGCAAACATATTTCACAGAGCCTAGTTTTTGGTCCAGATGAACATATCAGTGAACTCTGAATGTCATCTGATACTGGTTTCTGAAATGACTCCATGTGATGCTAAAAGTTGAATGAGAGACATTTTCACGTTTTCTTTCAGTGACGTCGTCGTTCAAATCGTCGACGCCAGAAACCCGCTGCTGTTCAGATGTCTGGACCTGGTGAGTTCGTGTCACTGGTGGAACAGACTCAAGTCTTTTAGGAGCTTTTTTAAATGACAGTTTTAAATATTCGCTTTTAATGTCATTATTCTTAAATTAGTCAAATAATGAAACACTAGAAAGTGCTGCAGTGAGTCACAGCTGACCAGTAGAACAGGACCGCTCCATGTTTTGTTCAACCAAAAGCATGTTCACATTCAGATTGAAGCTTTCAGCGTGTGGATTTCATATATTTATTCAGAGCTTCAGTTGAGCATAAAAATAATATATAATATGATAAACAGCGTGTTTCCAGACAAGGTTAAGCATCGAGAAGCTGAAGAGAAAGTCAGTCTGCAGGTTCTTTTGCAAATAAGGAAACTAAATCTGAAAACTCTTTTACGTTAGATGTTAACATTGTGAGAAAGAAGAGCCCTCTGTCTGGTGACAATATATGTGTTTTAGAGCTTTGCCAGACTTTGCTGGTCTCCAGAAACAACCTGCTGTTACATGACACTGATAAAATGTCCAAAAAGCTGCAAAATCCTTAATTTTAAGTGTACAGATCTTTTCAACACAACATTTTTTACAAATATAAAGTCATGCATTAAAAGATTAACGTTCTTGAGTGTATTTAAGTCTGAAGTGGAGTCTGTAGGTTTGTTGGAGAAATGAGCTTTGAAAGTTCAGTGTGTGGACCAGAGGATCCCAGTCATCTCTAAATTAATCAGAAGATGGACATAAAATCAACATTTACAGGAACAGCATTGCAGCACTGGAACCATGTTTCTGTGTCAGTGTGTTGGACTTATTCTGCTGAAAACATACGTGTAGGAATAGAAACAGTAAAAACAAGAAAGGATAAAAGAACCAAAGTGACGTTCACAGAAACTAATCGAACAGTGTTTGATTGATTTACCAGCTTCTTCTGTAGACGTCTGCCTGTAATGACCTGTACTTGTGCATCATCGTGAGCTCTCTGTTGACGTTCCAACGCTGCGTTCCACCAGGAGTCGTACGTGAAGGAGGTTTCAGCCGAGAAGGTGAACATGCTGCTGGTGAACAAGGCCGACCTTCTGACCAGAGAGCAGAGGAGAGCCTGGGCCAGACACTTCGAGAAGGACGGCATCAGGACGGTGTTCTGGTCGGCTCTGGCTGAGGGCAGCAGGCTGGACGCCGAGGAGAAGGTGAGGAGGAGGAGGAGGAGCAGGAGGAGAAGCAGCAGGAGGAGGAGGAGCGTACAGCTGAAGCCAGAACTTTAGGTTTTCCATGTTGTCACGGAAGGAAGCAGTGTGTTTGAGGTGTGCCTCCAGTTAACTCAGATGTTGTCAGTTAACCTATCAGAAGCTTCCAAAGCCATGACATCATCATCTGGGCTTTCCCAAATAGACTGAAGGCATCTTAGATGGATGGATGTAAACTTCTGACTCTGAAGAAAGTCACAAAAAATGTTCTCTCTCATCATTCTGGTGTTTTTCACATATACATAATGTTGGTAATCCTGACTGACCTAAAACAGGAAACGTTTAGTCTGATTTAATGTCAGACAGTGAGAAAAAAAAAAAGTTGTTTTGTCTTTTATAAAGTGCAGGATGTTTCTCCTGTCAGGGCATGGAGGTGGACGACCCGGAGCGTGAGGAGAGCGACGCAGAAGAAGGACCAGATAACGAAGCAGGTGGAGAGGAGGAGGAGGAGGAGGAGGAAGAAGGAGCAGAGAGTGATGAGGAGGAGGAGGAGGAGAAGGTGGAGGTGGATGAGGAGGACTGGCACACCTGTTCTGAAGGCGAGGAGGAAGCTGAAGGCGGAGCTGCCGGTTCGTCCAGTCAGTCTTTCCACAACTCCAGCCGCCTGCTGCACAAGGACGAGCTGCTGGAGATGTTTAAGGCAGTTCATAGCGGAACCAGGACCAGAGAAGGACAGCTGACCGTCGGACTGGTGAGCAGAAGCTTCTGTTGATTCAGGCTGATTTACTTGTTTGTGTAGACTGAGAACACCAGAGGGTCTTTAAATGGTTCTGTATCTGCAGCACCTTTATCTAATGACCAGAGTTCTACCTTCAGACTGTGAATATTCCAGAGTTCCAGGTCCTTGAAGTCCATAGAGGAGGGGGAATCATTTTGCAATTACTGCCTAATATGCGTCACTTTCTCCAGCGTTTTTGACGACTAAATAAGGAAATAGTTTCTCCTCAGAGTGAATCCTGTCTGTAGATGGTCCTGGTAGGTTCTGGAGGTCAAACGGTCCTTCCATTGTCTAGAACTTGTTCTGATTAACCACCATCACACATGCTGACATGAGCCTGGAAAGTTTACCCAGAATGCACTTTTTACAGTTCGGGTTTCTAGACAATGAATGGACCATTTAACCTCCAGAACATACCGGGACCATCTGTAGACCGGAAAAGTTGTTCTATAATTTATTCATGTATGACGGCTTAAAAATGATGAAAAAATCAGGACACCAAGGGCCTGGATCTCTGGAAACATTCACAGTTTGAAGGTAGAACTCTGTGACTTTGTTCAGATTTGTTTGTTTTTCTTATTTAATCTGTTCACTACAGATCCTGAATGTTTTAAACATCTCAGACAGAAACAATTGAAGCTAAACTGATTTTTTTCTGGTGTGTGGACCAACAGGTCGGTTATCCCAACGTGGGGAAGAGTTCCACCATCAACACTATTTTAAGGAACAAGAAGGTTTCGGTTTCAGCGACTCCTGGACACACAAAGCACTTTCAGGTACAGAAACACACCACAGCTCACAGAGTCCTGCAGAAACCAGCTGAAGATGCTGATGTCTGTCGTCTTTTCTTCAGACTCTGTACGTGGAGGCAGACCTGTGTCTCTGCGACTGTCCCGGTCTGGTCATGCCTTCCTTCGTTTCTACCAAAGCTGAGATGATCTGCTCTGGGATTCTGCCCATCGACCAGATGAGGGATCACGTTCCTGCCGTCTCTCTCATATCCTTTCTAGAGCGTAGAGGCTGCTGGTGGCTCCAAATTCACCACAATAAAGTCACTTTGAGCTGCTGAACCTGTCGTACAAACAGCAGAAACGTGTTTTGGTCCTTAATGGTCTCGTCACATATGTCAGACGATCCCTCGGCACGTGTTGGAAGGAACGTACGGCATCAACATCATCAGACCGCGAGAAGACGAAGACCCGGACAGACCTCCGACCTCGGAGGAGCTGCTGATGGCGTACGGATGTGAGACCAACATGTTTCCTGTTTCTGTAGAGAATAAATAGAACAACGGGCCAGAATGTGACCATCAGGTCCTCTTACATCTCATAACAACATGCTGCTTTGTAGACGCAGTCACATGTGTGGTTGTCTCTTTATGTCTTCGACTCATTTATTATCTCAGGAGCTTTACTGAGCGTTAATCTGGTTGTAGATGAGAGATGTCTGACACCTGTTCTCGTCTTTCAGACATGAGAGGCTTCATGACGTCCCACGGTCAGCCAGACCAGTCCAGATCTGCTCGCTACATCCTGAAGGATTACGTCAGCGTAAGTTTCACAGCTCAGATACACAAAACTCACCAAAAACACGCAACAGAACCGTATTTTCTATCAGGGGAATATTGTTCGACTGAACTTCAGGGTCTGAATACACAGGAGAGATTATTTGACTTCAGACTGTGAATATTCCAGAGTTCCAGATCCTTGAAGTCCATAGAGGAGGGTCCAGATTTATCACTTTAATGGACTTTTTCCGTCATTTCTGAGCCTCAGAACTTCATCAGTACAGCAGATAGACACATGACATTTAGGAGGAAGAACACATCTGAGTTCTGGTAGAAACTGACACCAGATCAGTTCTACATCCATCCAGGTGTCACAGTCTGAACACTGGACCTGGTTTGTGTTCATGTAAGCAGCTGGTAGCATCAGTATTATGGGATGTCTCATAATGTGAACAGTCAGACTGCAGCAGTTTAATGTCTATGACATAGAGTCATAGAAACAATCATTGGTACCCTGGATGTGTTTCTGGTTTCTGATCATTCACCAGAGAAAACTTTACAAAGTGCATTCTGGGTAAACTTTCATGTTAGCATGTGCAAGTGTACAAGTTACAGCAAATGTCTTATTTTTTCTCTACATGGTTCTGGTAGGTTCTGGCGGTAAAATGGTCCTTCCATTGTCTGGAACTTGTTCTGACCAACCACCATCACACATGCTGATATGAGCCTGGAAAGTTTACCCAGAATGCACTTTTTAAAGTTTCCTCTGATTCTAGAGAAAATGAACAGAAACAGATTCAGTGTTCAGACTGTCGTGGTCCCGTTGCTGCTAAACTCCCACAATGCTCTCTGCTGCCTTCTCTGGTCTCTACGGGATTAAACAGTGAGAGGCTCCACCTGGTGGAACAACCAGGTACTACAGCTGGTCTATGGTACATTTACTGACATGCAGGTTGTTGTTGGTTCAAGTATTTTAATCAGATAAATTATTGACTATTGATTACTCATGAACATCCAGAAGCCAAACTATTTCCAGCACCAAAACATCACGAATACATGTTTGCAGGTCAGACAGTGTGCAGGAGTCTTTCTAAAGCTGTTCAGTGGTTTCTGAAGGAGAAACTTTTTATGATGTGATGAATTGCTGCGCTGTGATCACATCTGAATCCTCTCCCTGACCCGCTGTGTTTCCTCCTCACAGGGGAAGCTTCTGTACTGCCATCCTCCTCCTCACATCAGAGCTGAACACTTCCAGCCTCAGCACAACAAGTTCCAGAGCCGAGACTCGGACAGCAGCGATCTCAGCGCAGAACACAGAACGCACAGCAAGCAGCACAACATCAAGAGGATTGAGAACGTAGTGGACAAGAACTTCTTCCACCAGGTAAAGTCCACCTGCTGAGCGGCTGTTTGCTGCAGAACCAAATGCTTCGGTGTTGACAGATGTCTGTGTGTTCAGGAGAACGTCCGGGCGCTGTCCAAGGGAGTGAAGGCTGTGATGGGCTACAGACCCGGCAGCGGACCCGTCGGCAAACAGGAACCGGAGGTGATGGCGGGAAAACCCTGGAAGAAACACGGCAACAGGAACAAGAAGGAGAAAGTTCGGCGAATAACGAAACATCTGGACGCCTGACGATGGTCCAGATGGGTCAGCCTGAATGTTAAAGGACAGTTCTGTGATTCCAAAGGAACTAATGCTGGTAGATGGATGTCTGCTGACTAGATCTGTCTGATCATGTTGGTGGGAATCACTCATCATCTGGATCAGCAGCTGGACTCTAATCCAGGAGGGAGGACGTTTATAATAAATGCAGGAATTAATTGTATTACAGTCAAAGTACACACGATTAAACCGTTAAACTGCCACATGTTGAATCAGTCCACACACCAATGACTCATGTTCCCAGACTGAACTGGGCTATTGAATAAAACTCATGTTTTCTGGTTGGTTTTAGTTCTTTGATCTGTTTCTAGGCAGCAGGACAGCATCACATCCTGGACCAGACCTACAACATCAGAAAGTTCTCACCCACAAACAAGTCCGTCACTTCCATCATGGGACTCAGCTGTAGATTATAAAGCCTGAGATCAGAAGAACCAGATGAAGCTGAGAGCTGCTGCCGGACGACGTGTCGACAACACAGAGCTCATCGCTTCAGTTCTTGTAGAAACTGATCCAAGACTTTATAATCTAGAGTTATACCCTCTTGTTTCTGGATAAGGAACTAGTACCCTCATACTGTACGACGACATACTATAGTACCACATACTATAGTGGGACATACTATACTACTGCAACAACACATGCTATAGTACCACATACTCTACTACTGTCCTACTACTGTCCTACTCGCTGATATAATATGAAACGTATGTTTAAGTAGATCAGGTGTTTAAATGGTCTGCACTTATACAGCGCTTTTCTACCTTTACGGCACTCAAAGCGCTTTACAGTGTTTCTCATTCACCCTTTCACACACATTCATACACCTGACTGAGCTGCCATGCAAGGCGCTAGCCTGCCATTAGGAGCAACTTCAGGTTCAGTGTCTTGCCCAAGGACACTTTGACTGTGGAGCGGGCAGGGATCAAACCACCAACCTTATGATCAGAGGACAGCCGCTCTACCACCTGAGCCGCGGCTCACCACTAAACAGGAAGTGGCTCGTAACTAGGCCA